ACGGTTTTTTTCCATAGTCACTTACCTGTAAGTCTGACAAGATTCTAATTTTCAAACAGTGAATATCCAACCAACATTACAAGAACTTCTCCAGAACCATTACATTCTGTATCCCATGTACCATTTATATGCATCTCTCTAATGTATCATTCCTATCAACATAAAACATAACTTAATATTAGTCATTAAAAAAAAAAAAAACTCCCTTTACTACACCATCAATATTCTCCTCTCTACTGTATCGTACACATTAGCACAAAACATGGGTTATTATTACCCAACCTCAAACAAGACAAAACTCCCTAGATTTCAGGCCCAGCATCAGCTGTCACTCAATGTCTATGGTCCACTTCACCTCAAAAATTCTCAACAATATTTATTTATCTTCATCTTCATTTATTTACCATTTTCTTTTCTCAGTCTACTCCAATGAGATTATGCCCACACCTTTCTACTAAAAATACCCTCACCCAGGTAACCAATAACATTTATTATCAAGTCAAAAACAACAGCAAATAAATTTAGCATCTGTTGTGAGTTGAATTATGCCCCTCAAGAAAATGTATTGAAGTCTTAAATCCTGGTACTTGTGAATGTAACTTTATTTGGAAAGAGTCTTTAGATGTGATGAAGATGTACAAAAATTAAGTCACATTCATTTAGGGTGACCCCGAATCCAGTGTTACTGGTATGTTTATGTTAACAACAACAATGATGACAAACAGTAAACACAGATGCAGCAAAACACACAGAAGAATTACATGCTGACAGAGGCAGAGATTAGTGTGACGTATCTTCAAACTAAAGAAAGCCAAAGATTGTCAGCAGCTCTGGCTACTCTACCTGATTTCTGCCTAGTAAGCTCTTGTAAGTACACAATTTTACGTACCATTTAGAATCCAAGGATCTTCAGCTTGCATCTATGGACTGCATATGGTCCTGGACAACTCATAATGTGATCCTCTGGGTTCAGAAAATTTATCATTACTATGTGATTTTTAGCATGTTTTTCATGACTCAATTGTGAGATACTCCACCATGGACTGTAATGTAACAATGGAGTGCTGTGCAGGAGAGGGCCCAGGGCAATGCTAACTCAGATTCCTGAACCTATCTCACAGTTGTTAGAACTGCGAGTATCAGACATCACTTGAACTTGAGGAAATTGGTGAGTAAAACGCAATTACCAATCTTAGCATTTCACCAACTCACTTGTGTGCCTGTGTAGACATGCAGAGATACAAGTTTTATTAATTATTAAACTGGAGCTTTTATTTTTCCTAAAATAATTTTATAAGTTCAAATATAAAACATAAAGGAAATTCTGTTACTTATATTCATTAACTCCATATTTCACATGAGGCCCAAGACAATCACTCTTCAATGTGGCCCAAGCAAATCAAAGGATTGGATGCCCAGGATTTAGATATTAATAATTTTCAGATTTATAATTCTGTCCATGACATCTCTCTCAAGTTCCAAACCAACAAATCTAAATAATAATCAACTTCTCTATTTAGATACACAATAGACATCACAAAATTATTACTATTGAAAGTGAACCATCTTATTGATTCTGGAAGTAGCACATTTGTGGAGTTCACCTGTCACAGTATATGACACCAGCATCCACTCAGTTTCTCAAGCCAAAAATCTAAAAGCCATGTTAATTTCAATTGTCTTTAATATTTTACATCCCATCCATTGATGATTCCTGCCTGCTTTTCTCTGAAAACACAGAGATGATTTAAGTAACTTCAGTTCATCTTCAACTGGTATTACTTTGTTGTGAGAGCTACTTTTCTTGAAGGTTTAGTAAAAGACCACTAACTTACGTTCTTCTAGGGACGTCTCTCCCTTCCAAATGCTTACCAGTGCAGGGGACTTCTCCTTCTGAACACTGCACCTAAATTCTTCATTTCATTCAAATCCCAATATAACTCACCTCCTCAATCAGTTTCCTTTACATAGTAGCTAAAGGAACCAACCAGCGTAGTCAAACTCTATTCAGTTTTCTATGTTATGGTCTTCATAGTATCTATTCAAAGTTGGTCAATTATGACACTTTTATTTTGACACACTTATTTTTACTTCATCTTTCTAAAATATCAGCTATTTATGTTCATGAGCTCTGTAGCACTCTAGTATCTCAGTGACTAGAACCATTTTAGGATCAAGCAGGTACATGAGAAATTTGTATTGACTATTTAGAAAATGAGTGAGAATCAAGAAAGTGAAAACAGACATATAATTTAGGAGGATGTTGCAATTCATTTAAGATATAATGGCAGTATCTATTATTCATTTTGATCCTCATTTACACTTTCACTTTTTCACACCACAGAAACTTCAGTATTTACACATGTGTCCTATTTATTTCACTTAAGAGTAATGGCCTCAATGTGCATCCATTTAGCTATAAATGTAAATGTCTCTAGTTTCTCATTCTTTGTAGCTGAATAGTACTCCATTTTATAAATAAAAACACATTTTCTTTATCAGTCACCAGTTGATGGGCAATTGGGCTGTTTCCCAGTTTTAGCTGTTACAAACTGTGCCACTATAAACATGGGTGCATGTGAAATAGGGATAAAAGGTCTGAAAAGGAAGGGGAAGGGGAAGTGGGAGGGGTTGAGGAAAGGAAAGAAGAGAAAGAAAGAAATATGAGAAAAGAAAAAAATGGAAACAAAGTATTTGTAAATAGGGAGAGACGGAGAGGTTGAAGAGAGGGCAGGGGAATGGGGAAAAAAAATAAGAACCAAGATATATCACGTAAAGGTACAAATTCCCAATGATGAATGTCACCATATTTTATAGCTAAAATGTACCAATAAACTTAATGAATAAAAAATACAGGAGAAAAAGATATAATGCCAGTTTTATAAGTGAATTGCCGTAACATAGTTAAGAGAACTTAGCACTTCATTCAACAGCAATGAGAGAAACAAAAAGAAACTGTAATAATCGATGTACTTTTGACCTGAGTAAATGGGTGGATGGCTCATTGTCAAAAGAGGTGCCATTGGGTATGTTAAGGAACATACTGTTAAGAGAAATTGCACTGTGGTGATTAAAAAAGAGGCTCAGGGTCTCTAGAGCTGTTTGTGCTTGTTGGTTCTATTTTCTAAACATGGACCATTTTTCTCAACCCTAAAGAATCTGACTTCCACTTTTACTATGAATAGAATTTGTTCCTGTCAACTTTTTTTAAGCCAATCGACATGGAGCCAAACACAATGTTTGTTTTTTCAGTCCTTATCTTGCTTGACCATTGAGGAGCATTTGGCCTTCTAGAAAAATTAGTCAGCTTTCTGCTCACTGAGGACAATATTCCACATTCACAATTTAAAGAAGTTTAATTTGGTTCATAGTTTGGGAGATTCAGTCCATGGTCAGCTGGCTACAAGGCAGGAACATCATGGTTCCTGAAGAAGGTGTGGTAGAGCAAAGCTGCTCAGTTCATGGTGGGTGGGAAAAAGAACAGGGGAACAGTACTGGAGAGTAAGGGGCCAAGGACTAGATAAAACACCCAAGGTTACACCTCCATGACACACACAGGTACACTCAGAAGTGTGCTTTACTAATCCCTCAGCTCCCAAGTCAAGCAAGTTGACACTTTACCTTGCCACTGTCCTTATCATAGATTCCTGTGATGACACATCTTCCTGCCTTTTTTTCACTTTTCCAGCTGCTCTTTCTAGTAACAACTGGATAAATTCCTAACTTTTCTGTTGTGATTTACAAGGCCTTCCAGAGTCTACTCTTTCCTATTTTCACCCTTGCCATTTAAATGTCTTTCAGTCTACTTCCTCTAAGAGTTTTCCCCCTATTTCACATTATTTTCTCTACCTCTCTTTTGAAGAACATTTTGTCTATTCATTTCAAATCTCCATTATTCAATTGGGTCTTTAAATCTGCAGGGGCTTAATTACTTTTAGTTCTTTATATATTCTAGATATTCATCCTTTGTCTGAGGCAAAGGCTGGCAAAACATTTTTCCAATTTTATAGATTTTTTTTTCATTCTGTTAATGTTTTTTTCTGCTGTGCATAGGGCTTTTAATTTGATATGATCCCATTTGTTGATTCTTGATATTATTTCTTGTCCAATCAGAGTTTTGTTCAGAAAGTCTTTGCCTACATCTACATCTTCAAGAGTTTTACCTCTTTTTAATTCTAGAAGGTTAACATTTTGAATGCATGTGGAATTTTCAAGAGACTTGGTAGCAAATAATATTCCTCCTTTATTGAGAAAACATTTGTAAATAGACATCCTTATTCATACAGTTTTCTACAGCTCTAAATTTTTCATTACTTTAATTTTGATTATTTTTCTGTAAATCAGTCATTACCATTTCAGCATGAGTATTTGTCACTTTATTAAATTTTATTTGGAACATTTTAAGACATATGAAATCTATTATCACTAATATTATAATAACAAAGTGTGAAAGTAAATGTTCCAAATTTATTGGCAATCTTTACATATTTGATTTGGCACATATTTTTAAAAAGCAAAAGTATGTTCTTTTGTGTGATTCAAAATTATATCTTTCTAGAACGTGGTTTCTACCACAAGTTGTAAGGTAGGCCCATAAGGCAGCCTATGGAAGTATCTGCTAGGACTCCCATTAAATCAGCTGGAGAGGAGACAAAACTTGGTGATCAGTGAGGGGGCTATGAGGGGCACTAACAGGAGGTTGAACTAAAAGGAAGTAGGACTTTTTAACACAGGACTAGTTCACAGTTGAAGATGAACCATTTATAGCCATTTTCTTGTTGACAGATGTTGAGAATCCTAATTTTTTCACCACTTAGAAATTTCTACAGATGTAAATGGGAATGAAAAGAAACAAAATGCATCCATGTAATACATAAGTAACAGTCATATTTTATCCCTCATGAATCACCTTTTAGGAAAGATGTTAATGGTTATTTTTACAAATCTTAACAGTCCCTTTAGTGTATAAACTTTTAAGATTTCGGGTGAAGTGTACTCACGCTCACTTTCCCATTGCGATTGTCTTCTTCTCTCACAGCCAGGGCCTTCAGGAAATTATCTTGCAGGTCTTTACCAGCACTTGTCAGTGTTCTGTAAAAAGAAGGTCTTCAGTTATGTCATATAATAAATATACTTAAAGCACTGGGTCCAAAAATCATGCTTCTTTATACCAAGTGCCAAATTCCTTATAACATAGAAACAACGTGCAATCATTATGATCTACTAGATTCTTTGATTTAATTTCATGCAGTTATACAGTCTTTATTTGCAAATAATAGGAATCAAGTCTATAACTTCTACATATATGCATGTCGATACTCATGCCAGATATAATTAATTTCATTTATATGCCTCTTCTATTGTTATTGTCATGTCAAGAAGAGTCAACAAATTTTTATCCCTTACTTTCCACAAAAAACATTAAATTGTCAAATATGTGTAGTCATGCATGCCTATCTAGCTACTCAGGAAATCTAGGCAGGAAGATCACAAGTTCCAGGCAAGTCTGGAAACTTAACCAGACTCTGTCTCAAAAAACAAAAACAGTTCAGTGGCAGAGCCATTGGCTAGCATATGCAAGCTTCTGGGTTCAATCCCCAGTACTGTGCAAAAGAAAAAACAAACAAAAATTGTCTGTGACTTAAGTGTAATTTATTTGTTAATTTAAGGAAATGAAAATATTATATGCCTAAACCAATACAATTAGAGCATTAACTTCAGCTCTATGAAGAGAGGTAATGAAGACAAGAAAGGAAACTAGGTTGAGATATCTTTATTAGACAAAAGGAAGCATTAAGAATTCAAGGCAGACATGAAATTTTCAAGGAAACATCACAGAGATTTCAAGCACACAGAGCTACATAATGAAGAGAGTTCAAGAGTAGTTTGTGAAAGGAAAATTTTATCTGATCTGACTTAGAGCCACTGTAGAAAGAACAAAGGGGAAAGACTGGATTAGGAAATGCTTAGGCGGTAAAATCAAACTGGCAATTGCTTCTGGTGAAGAGTTCATAAGAAATCACTACAGGTATTTAAGAATTTATTTTTGTCAAAACATGAATCCTCCATATTATAATATATCCTAAGTACTATTCTAACACCAAATCTCCAAATTATGAAATTCATTTTGTCAGTTGCCTATTCAAAAAGCATGTTAACATCCAATTTGATCACAAACCCCATTCCACAACACAAAAGGCATCAAGTTAATACCAGTTTGCCATTCTTCAAGGTTATTTTCTATAAGATATATGTATATATTTGTGTACTTATAAAACTTACAAGGACTGATCAAACTATACAGTGAAAGTTTATTTATTTATTCATTCAATCACTTTAGTTTTTTGAGACAAGGTCTCATTATGTAGTTCAGGCTGGCCATGAACTCATTATGTATGCAGTCCAACCTTGTCTTGAACTCATAGTGATCCTCCTGCCTCAGCCTCCCAAATGCTGGGACCATGCCACCACACCTGGAAATATTTAAAAAATGGTTACAGTAAAAGAAAAATTGCTTTAATGTCCCCATAAAGTACTCACCCTTGCTTCAATCGCAATTATCCCATCATTATTGCCACTTTCTGAAGCTGTTCTGGAAGTTCTTTTTCATGAGTGTCTTTATGTAGTATGATCAAAAATAAAGTGACTGATCTTAAAAATATTACAGAGCTTCTTCATCCACTTTATTCAGTGGATCTGGTGTTGCATGAGTTTTGGCTATTCCCCCAGAGTCAACCATGAAAGACAAACGACCTGAATTGATTCAGGACATTGAGGCAGCCAGGACAACACAACTAAAGATACTTATGACAGACGACTTCCAGAACTTATTTAGAATGTGGCAAGAACAATGGGATGTGTGTGTTTGCAGCAAGGGGGGAGTATTTTGAAGGGAAATAATGGTAATATGTCTTTTACTGTAATGAAAATTTTATGATTTAAACATTCACTGTATATTTTCTCATACTTTATACATATCATAATTTGACTCATGAGTTGTTCATGAGTTGCTCATGCTCATTTTATGACATATTTTACAACTTACTGTTTTGTAGTTATTGTTGTTGCAAGGAATGTGCATGCAAACAATATTCAAAATTATCCCCAGATTTATCTGGCATAATATGCCAGAAAAATCAATTTCTAGGTACCATTCACTAATAAGGTAAGACAAGACACTCCAAATATTCTTCCTGGCCTAGCTGCCTTGCTAAAGGCTAAGGTTTTCAGCAAATATCTGGGCAAGTCAGGGAAAGGAAGCAAATTCTTACTGTACCTTGCTATGGAAGACATTGTTCTCCCTCCTCCTACTAAAATGGAAGCCTCCCTTTTCACCTGGGCATATAGCTGCCTGAAATAAAGAGTACTTTTCTTAACCTCTCTGAAGCTAGATATGACTGTATTACTAGCTTTTGCATGGTAAGATCCAAGTGAAAATGATATGCAAATTCTAGGAAATATATCTAAAAGGGGCTGGAGTACACCTTTCTTCCTTTAGCTATAATGCAATATGACTACAGTTCCAACTGTCATCTTGGACTCAGACTAAATGCCATTATTATGGAAAAACGAGAGAGAGAGAGAGAGAGAGAGAGAGAGAGAGAGAGAGACAGAAACAGGTTCCCTGATACCTTGGAGCACTAGCACAGCCTTGCTTGACACTACCTGGTCTTTTTCCATATGAGACTGAAAAGAATTTATGTTGTTTCAGCCACTCTGATTTGGGTTTTTCTATTATATTTAGCCACGCCTAATGCAAACACATAATTCACCATATGAACCTTGCATATCCTTCTGAAGAAGATGCTCTTCTATGATGGTTTGGTGATCAAATTGAACTTTAACCTTATTTGTAATATTCTAAAGATTTCCTATTGAAAAGAAAGATTTGTGTTATTATCTGTCTCTTTTTGTAGGACTCTTTTTGGTTTATGTCTTGTATTCTGAGTAATTACTTTGAAGATAACAATATACAGTGTAATAACTATTGTTATTCTCTTACTGAATATAACATTTGTTTTATTTTTTCATAAAAATAAAAATAAAATTATTTAAAATAGAGCTGGAACCTTTTAAACAGAAGCATGAAATAATGAATCTAAATAGAAATAAAACATGAGGCACTAATTTTTAATTCATACTCATCTTTCAATGATTAGTTTGAATCATCATATTTTCTGAGTGTGGATTTCATGGTAGTCTAAATAATCTTTAAGTCCCACAGCTGGTCCAAAGCTTGTGATTTAGATTGATCATATGGTATTAACAATCACCAAACACCATTAATATATAACCAGTCTAATACATGTGCCTATTATAAAAATAATACATAAGATCACACTGCTGCTTCTGTACTATTATTAAAGTGTTCCATGCAAAGATGAACATCATTTCCTACAAATTCTATAAGGAAGATAGAAGAATTTTTACTATATAAATTGGAACAAGGAGGATAAGCATTTTTGCCTCCAAAACTATTTTTAGCAGAGAAAAGGGTAACATAAGCAATTATTCTTAAACCATGCTACCTCTGAGTACTTGAAATTTCTTAGCAAGAGGAAATACTAGAAAAGAAAGTTAATATAGAATGTGTGGCAAGGAATTCTTAAATTTTTAACATGCCTTACTGTTATTTAACTAGGTTTACTTAACAGTCAGTGACCTGAGAAATCTGGTTTAAATAAATATTAAAAAGGAGTTACTTCCTCAAGAAGTGAAGTATGTCTGTTACAAAATCTTAAGGTTATAAGTTGTATAAAGGTAAATACTTCATCTTTCTTGTTTACACTCCACTGCACTCTCAAAGTGGGGTAAAAGTTACATGGATGAGTTATTTTTTACCAACTCTGTTTAATCATTAGCTAAAGGTATTTATATAATCCTACAGGAATGAATAAATGTAGTCTTAATCCTCAACAATTAAACTACTGGTTTTATAATTTAAGTATATTGTTTATGTATTGTATCACATATTTACATTATTAGGTTAACTAATAAAGAGGAAGAATAAATGACAAAAGAAAACTTTGTGAAACTTAGAATTTCATTTTCAAGATTTTTTGCTTGAGTTCACTTAACAATAAATTGTTTCACTAATATTTGTGACTTACTAGTTCTCTTAAAATTAAAAAAAAATATTTTAAATGTATTATTGGGATTGTACTAATGAGCAACAATGATTGATCATTAAGATGTGTTCCAATAAGCAATTTCTGATACTGACAAATCAGGAATTAAATTTTATTTTAATTAGAATACATTTTGGGGTACTTTTTACTATTCTCTATGTTAGACATTTTGTAAACACTTTCAATTATTCTCAAACTAAGTCCTAAAGAAGGATGTTTTCATTTCGATTTTAGAGATGAAGTGAGTCTCAATGTGGTTAAATAACTTGGTTATAATCAGGTGGTATTCAGATTTTAGTTTAAATCTTACTGATATCAAGTCATTATTCCACTACACTGGAGCCTCAGAATACATCAAAGCCAAACTATCATAATATTCTTTCATCATGAAAGCACTAAGAATTCATTGGGGAGAAGAAATTTAAATTAGTAGGAGTGTATGTGAGTGAAGTAAGTGCAGCATGAAACCTTTATCTTGAGACCTTCACGGAAAGCTAATATGCACACTCATTCCAGTCTAGACTGGAATTCTGATCAATTACCCTATTCAGGGGTAGTTCTGAATTTTTCTTAAAAGTCAGTGAACTCGGACAAAAACTGCATTTCATATTTGTAGAATTTATATTCAACTCGTGAGCACTTGTTTAAATACACAATTCAATCTCTCCAAGCTTTAGTTCCTTAAAATGCTTTGTACATTCAATTTGGAAAAATTTAATGAAAAATAGTACATGACTAAAAGTGTCTTGTAGAAAATGCATAATAGTATCTTCTTTAAAACAGCAAACACCCATTACTGCAAACAACAACAACAGCAGCAACAACAACAACAACAACAACAACAAAACCCAGCAAACATTTATGAAAAAGCAGTTTTGAGAAATTGCTTTATGTCCCTTGGAGAAGCTTGCTTACAGATTATGGTATGTATTTCTATTCACAAATTTGATTGATTAAAATATA